TCATATGGTATTTTTGAGCATGTGGGAAGGCTGAATCAATAGCAGCCGCTCATGTAAACGCTGCCCTGGGCGGCAAAAGTAAATGAGTCAAACAACAAACTGCGTCACCATGGACATCAATCACAAGTACTCTCTGATCAATAAACAACCAAAATCGATGGAACTTTTTTGCCACTGTTACACACGAAGCTGTAGGTTATAATGTTATTTCCATTCATTACATTTCCACTGATCTGGTGGGCAGCTGTCTCCTCGCATGCCCAGATGTCCTCCGGTAGGACACCCCATGGTATGAGTAGAAAGAGGGTTGCTGGTTTAAACTCTGTGGTAGGTAAAATATTCTTCTCAATAACCCTGAAGCTCCAGTGGTGTGTTTGAGTCAAAAGGGGCCTTTCTTTATTATTTATCTTTGTCATATTTGTCTATCTTTGTCATATGCTTCTGTGTGTTCAAAATAAACAGGGTAAATGTTAGAGGCCACGAAAATGTGGGAAAAAGAGCAACTGGAGAAAAGGGCAGGGATGGTGCCCAATGAGGTGTCCATTCTGTGGATTTATGTAGAATAGAATAGAATAGATCATTATTGTTGCTATTAAAACAACGAAAAGCAGTTCTTGCCAGTGGCAGCACAACCTTGCTGAAGGTCCCTGCTGTCCAGTAAGGGTTGTCGGAGTTGAGCCTGTCTCAGCTTCCTGAGTAAGTGGAGTCTCCACTGGGTCTAATTCCCCACCTGGTAGGAGATGGTTTTGGACCAGGTGAGGTCAGCTAAGATGTAAACCCCCAGGAACTTGTAGCGCTCCACCCTCTCCACCTCCTCTCCACCTCCTCTCCCTGTGTCCAGAGGGCAGAGTGCTTTGATTTTCCTGAAGTCCACTGTAATTTCTTTGTTTTATGTTGTGTTTAAGTCCAGCTTGTTATGTCAGCACTCCTGTACCAGATGTTGAACCTCCTCCCTGCAGGCCTTATTGTTAGGTCTGTTATGAGTCCTACTATTGTGGTGTCGTCAGCGTATTTTACAACCAATAATGTTTTTCACATGCTAAAACTCTATTTCTCTTTTAACATCTGAAGGTTTGACTAATACAAGTCTAATCCATAAAGTTTTAATTCAACTGACTTTTTTTTTCACAAGAGTGTGTCCGACCTGTAACTTGGCAACAGTGGAAATTGTTGTTCGTGGTGCAACTTCATAGTGCTCAAGCTCAAAGGTATACAGGCAAGATTCATAACATTCAGGCAAGGTAATTCAGTCAATGGAATAAAGTACGGTGGACATAAAATAAACATAATTTGATCATGTGACAGATAACAAGACAAACAACTAACAAGCACTGTAGCCTATAGTGAGTTAGCGAATGTGCTGTAGTCTTATTGCTGTAAGGTAATGTTAGCTCACTACAAACTACACAGACTCCAGAGAAGCGTAACTTATACAGACAGTTACATAGCCATTGAAGTAGGTTAGATTGTTTAACACACATTTCCACTAGAGCTACATTACTGTACAATTCTCAGGAGTTAATTGGCATTTCTCAGCCAATTAGAAAAATACAATTCACCCAGACACCATTTAATGTATGCAATCTCTAAGTTTCACACACTCTACAATAGCAATATGACTGTTGCTGTCTGACAGTTCACATTCAAGAGAAGTTCAGTCTCAGTTTATCTGACTGTTGGGGGAATCAACTGAAATGTTGCCAGTTTCCTATAAAGGTTTTCATAAATCTTACGATGTGGAGCAGCTTTTGATGGATCAGCATGAATTTTAAAGTTTCCTTGGAAATTTATGTCCCAGTTTTTGGACATAAAATGATCTTGTGTGCCCTGCTCTGGATGAGAATGACAAATAATTAGAGAAGTAAAATATAATAGCTTGAATGCAGAGCAGTGAATCACCAGTTTTTCTCCCTTTTCGCCTTTTTTTCTCACTTGATCTGCCTCCATCTTTTTATTCATATATCTCGGCATACCCTGTCCAACACTACGCTCACAAATGTACTTCCTCTTATTTTATTCATTAAAAGGAACTATTTTTTTGTCTATTTATTCATTCACCCGGAGACTCATCTGGCTTTTAGAGGGGAGCTGTCTTTTCACAGAGAAGCCAGAGTGAAAATCTTTTGTATTGTCTGGGATTCATTCATATCAGCGCTTCACTAGCTGTCAGAGGGAAAAACAATCTCTGTTAGCTTCCAAAAAGTAGGTCTAATCTTTGAAGGACTCACATGACTGCTTTGAGTCGGAGTCGTCTTTGTTCTGGCAGACACATAAAAGATACTGATGTTTGAAAGATACATACTGACAAGGTTTCGGTTTTTCTGTCTCAATTTGTTTTTGTTGTTGTTTGTTTAAAATTAATAGCAAAATTGCTTGGTGTTGTTTGGATTATTATTTCCATTTTCACGTTTGAATTTAATTATTTCAGTAAAGTATAATGCTGTGTGGGTTGTTATCGCAAAATGGAACCAGGACCGTGTGAGCAGGAAGTTTCTGTTCTGCGATAATAAGTTAGCGATCACTACCATCAGTGTGTGAAAGGGTGTGAATGGGTAGGTGTGACATGCAGTGTAAAAGCGCTTTGAGTAGTCGGAAGACTAGAAAAGCGCTATATAAGCTTAAGTCCATTTACCATCCATTTACCATTATCACGCCATCAGGGACTCAATATGAATGTACAAAGTCGTAATGGCGGTCTGAACTTAGCTATGGCACAAAAAGTAGTATTGTATTGATGTATTGATCACAACCCTCACAAAAAATAATACCGCCAGCCTGCTCTTTAAGTAACACTGAATACATTTCCCTCACAAGTAAACAGGCTGAGCATATTCTGTTTGATAACAGCTAACATCTTTATTGGGTTAGATTTACAGCTTCTCCAAAACTATAAAACCTTCAACATGGCCTAAGATTTGTCAAAAAAATATAAAACATACCCCAAAATGTCACTCACATTAGAGTTGAGATAAGAGGAAGACTGTTTAAAGGGCAGAAATCACTTCAAATGTAACTGTGCTGTGGTTACTTTTCAAAAAGAATGACTTTTTTTGATTTACTCTTTCACCAACATGCTGTGGAAAGGTCAAAGCATATAGAGGCAAACTTTTTTTAGGCTTGACAAATTCAGAAGAAAAAAATAGTGCTCAGAAAGGTTTACGGATAGAGTAATATCTTATAAGAGGGCCAATAATGGCTCAGTTTTGCTTAACCAAAGTTGAGTAACAATGTGGTTGCTTCTTTGTAAACTGACTCCAGTTGTGGTAGTGTTGTGCTGGAGTTTAACTAATGTGAGGTAATACATCCATTGATTTTTATTAATACTTAGTTTTCCCAGTGGCCTCTTATCTGAAATACTTTTCCTGATATGCCATTAATATTAAACAGACTTCAAACAAGGTCAATCATACTGACCCACAAATCGTATTCCTTCTCTAACTGTATGGAAATAGTATATAGAAACTAGCTTGGTGGAATTAGCTTACTACTAATTGTTAGCCCAACTGATAAACAATGTCTTAACCATTACACATGTATTAGCAAGCCTGCTAATTCACTCATAGGAAAATACTTAATTGAAAATACACTTTTGGAATGCAGTGATGTTTTTTTAACAGTTACAAAAAGCAACTATATAAGGTATTTCAGTGTGGTGTTTAAATTGATGATAGATGGTTAACAGGATTAGCTATTTAGCATAACTCAATTTATTAAGGTCAGACATTTGTAGACAGGTTATTTGGCTCCACCCATTGTGGTTTTAACTATGTATGGTTACCTGGCTAAAACCCATGGTTTTCCATTAATTCGGCCTTGATAGTGGCTCCCCTTTAAGTTACCATTTGTGAACTAAAATGTTCATCTTTAAAAACTAAAGAACATGCCAAGTGTTTCTTTTTCAAGACAAACCTCAAATTTACATCTATAAAAAAAAACACGTTATCAGCCTATTCCCCAAATTTTCATCATCCTAAATGAGTATCTGAAAAAATGTGGAAATGCAGAAAAACGCAGTTCCTTAAGTGTCCACTTGAAGCTGCCTCAAATGGACAACAGAGCGAAAGTCCAATACACACCTCATATCAAATCATGTTTACAGACTGTTACAAATAATAATTTTGGTCTGAATAGCTAATGTCTATCAGCACACACTGTATGAGAGGTGAATTTTTAAACATTCATTTTGATTTTAAAAAGGATAAGATATTAAGGGGCATGGCTGATCTGACTGAAACGTAGGCTTATTGTAAATGTTTTCAGCTGTTTACTTAAGGCCAGCCTCAGTTCAAGTTCTTTGCTTGTTGCTAGCTTGACCGAAAATGAGTTTGAGACAACATTTCAAATATGGTGAGTGCCATCGATGGGCTTCAGAAGTCTACTTCAGAAACCCTTGGGTAATGTCACTGAGACAACTACCTTGTATACACAAATGACACTTGAGAAGCCATTTTAAGTGGTTGCAATGTTTGAGGCTAACCACAAAAATCCTCTTATTGTAAAAAGAAGTCGGAGCTGTTTAATACACAAAGACACTTCTCAGCTTCTTGTTTGGAGGTAACTTTTTACATCATCAAGGCTATCTCGGAGTGATGCATCCTCCCCCTCTTCAATATCCCAATTAAAAGTTGTTTTGAAGGAACAAGGTTTTGACACTATTTTGTATTTTTAGAAGTGCTGACAAACACCTTGAACAGTTTCATTCTTAGCACTGTCTTCTCAAAGACAGAGTGACTCTGATGACAGTTACTTTAAAAGAACACCAAATGCTCTGTTCCCTTTTTGAAGTGTTATTTTTACACCATGCAGAATGTCACATAAGCAGACTTTTTTTTTTTTTTTTCACATTTATCGCAAAAACAAAAAAATAATATATCAAAAAATGCCGATTGGGCTGATGTTCTCTCATGGCTATTTGAACTCTACAATTTGCGTATGAGGTCAACATAAGGACAGGCAATCAGTTAATGTTTTAGAATCATTTTATTACAAAATGTGGCGGTTCTCCATTTCCATGTGTATGTGCCATCTTAGGGTGGTGATTGGAACAGTAAGTCTTCACAAAGAATGTATTCACACTGACAAAAAAATCTGAGTTAATGCATTTTTTAAGTGAAATTATTTACATTTGAAACAAAAGAGAATCACATTTTCATCAGTGTTGTCTGATGAGAAAACACTTGGACCTTATAGCAGATGATCTTAAACCGTGAAATCTGTTCTTGTTTGTTCTCAGTTCTTCTTTCATATTTCTAAGGTTTTGTTTGAACATGTTTCATGACCAATCTGCTGATCAAACGGTCTCCAAAAGCTTATTGAAAACCTGCTGTTCAAGTAAAAACGGGAACATGTTTTATAACTTCAACAACAAGGTTTAACCAAAACAACAGTAACAACACTTGACAGTCTCGTCCACAGGAATTCTTTGTTGTAATTACACAAGGATTCTGTGATTTCGATTGGTTAACAATGAAATGCGTCTGTGCACATAAATCGATTGGAGCCTGTCTTGCAATGCTTTGTGGGTTGTCAAGCCCAACTACTTTGATCACAAGGGAGATATATTGTCACCTTCCTATTTTCTCCTGTTTTTATCACAATATATACAGTACAGCACTTTCAAAAGAAAATACATGTGGTGGTTAATATTATACAAAAGCATTGTTACCCCCCAACGGCTTCTCTGTATTAAGGGCGATGTTGTTTGTCTAATCCCAGTACAGAACATCCCCTTTGGTACAAGTGCATTATAAAATGGTGATTGAATGCACTGATCGGGACTACAACATGGTTCATGTGGCCTTTCTGGACAAAAATGCTCTTATTGTTACGACATACTCAACGCGGTGAGCATCTGTTGGCACAAATGTTGAAATGTCAAGCATTTCTGTAACACTGCTTACAGCTTTCAGAAGCAAACAGCACTCAGTATAAGTCACTTTTTGTTTGTCAGTACTTGTTATCCTTTTACGAATATCATCATTACCCTCCATGTTTCATTTTAACAGTCAAGAGTTTTTTGTAGGCAAGTTCCTCAAATGAATAATTTATTGAGAGGAAGCCTTTTGTTTGATAGCCATCACATCTGTGCCATAATGATCGATCTTTGGTTGGTGTGTCTTTTTTAGCTGCCATTGACACAGATCTCCTATACCAGTGATTCCCAACCTTATTGACCTGTGACCAACTAACTTGTGACCCACTTGAAGCACAGCTTTCACAAATATATACACGTCCGTTGTGACCAGTTCAACCAAATAAATATTAAAAACTCTTTAATGTCTTGACAATTATTTTGAACATACAACGTACAGTTACACACACAAAAAAGTAAAAAGTATAGTACACATTAGGAAAAGGGAAAATGTTTTATTGAAAATCTGATTAGTCTATTTTTCCCGTCTTGTTTATTATCTCACAACCTCCCTTGCAAATCTTTTGGAGGCCCTGACCCACTGTCACTGTGTCTTTAAAGATCCTATGAGGAACTTTTTATTTGTATTGATTTGGCGCCCCCTGTGGACAAAAAGTAGCACATCTTATTTCATTACTGATCTTTTCTTGTACCTGTGTAAGTAGTGTGTCTAACTTAAAATGCCATCCTGCTTTCTTTTTTGTGTCAAATGTATCACTAATTGTGAATATTTGATTTGTAAAATGTAAACCAAAAAAAAGGCAGTGCCTTCAGCGTATTGCAAACAATCTCATTTGACACCTACCCCTCATCCACGTTTAAAGGCATTCAAAGTTACAAAATAGAAATAGTCAATCTTGTTGCCGGTGGTATTTTATGGTTCAGTAGGTCACAAAGAGACATCTGTATTAATTTCACACCAATTCATAACCAGCTAAAAATCCCTCATTTTAGCTTTAAATAAGGAATGACTGAATGTCATCATATTGGTGATACAGGCTTTGCACTCGCCCCTTCAAACGTCTTTGAAAGCTCCAGTGAATGAGCTGTGAAAAAGCAAAACACACATCCTATATATAAAACCAGGAAACCGGTAAGTGTGAGTGAAACCAAAAAAAAGATTGAGCTTGTTTGGTTCTGTTAGAAGCTATTATCAGAAAAGACGCCTTCTTTGATCAGAGACATTTATGTGGAGTGTTTTAGGGGCTGCTCACCCAGGAGACTGCATCGAGGGAGACAGGCTTTTTAACTCTCTTCTTGTCAAAGGGAAGGGAACATCTGGTCACACCTGTCAGCCTGTCTGTGGCTGAGATGCAGCTGACAACCGCTGAATGCAGGGAGGGAGCTTCTATCCTTGATTCACCTTTTAATCATCTCTCCTCTCTTCTCTGTGTAGCAGCTCATGCGCAATCAATAAAGTCCCATAAAGAACTGTTTCCATAACCCAGTAAGACCAACTGGGTTTTAATCATGTTATCCTCCAGCTTCTTGTTTGTACTCATGTCAGCTCAAATATCACCAGTGTCCGCATTTAAAATATAGATCTTGACAAGTTCTACATCTGGATGGGACTATTTTTGATGCAGTTTTGGAAAGATGGGCCCCTGCTCATGTAGCAAACACTCTTTGCTACTGTATGACAGGGAATGGAGCTGAAAACCATAATGAGTTCAGGTCAGTGCTCTCTTTTTCAGTTCAGTTCACAGTCCGTAGAATGAACTCATTCCTTTGCTAACAAGGCAAAAGGTATGACATTTCCAAATCATGAACTATGACAGGTAAAATATATTTGAAATGTGTAGCTGGAGTTACTTCAAACAAGTTCAAAAGTTTATGAATTCTTGTAGCACCCAGAAACCAAAGAGAATTATGAGTACCATTCTGACATGAAGGTTGTATTTTTCTCTCTGGATGAACTTCGTTTGGCAGTTTGGACGTCACATCTTGGGTTAGATTGCCCACCAATGATCAAAGCCGATCGCAGCATTTTATTTTGGCTGAATGTACAGCATCTCTTGGTGTTTACGAAGCTGTGCGTCCTTTTGTGTTTGAAAAAAACTCTTGCACACAGTTGCTTTAATTAATGATCAGAAAAAGACTGAAGGCAGAAAATACAGTGCCAATTCAGTGCCAAAAAGAGATTTTACTGCCCTCTGTTGCTTCTTCTCACTTTGTTCCAGTTCAAACTTAAGTTAATGAGGACACATTTGAGCTGCACGGGCTGTGTTTACACAGGAAGTGTAACAAGACGTTCATTCAATATCCTCAAAGTATCAAGAACACAGAAAATACTGTGTTTTGTGAGGAATACAAGTTAACAGGTCTTCACTTCTAATCTCTGTCCAAATGGAAAACCCAATAATAGAAATTAAAAGCCAAAATAGGAGTTAGCATGCCCCAGCTGCTTTGTTTAAAGGACTTAACATACGGGCAGGGATTATTCCAGGCATCCCACAGGACAGGGCCTCACCATTGATCTGATTGGAATTTCAATATGCATTAACATTATATGCAATCTGTTGCTGCTCCAATGCATTTCCCCGGAGTTGAACTTGCGCTTTTCCATAATGAAAGTCTGAGCTGAGTTGACCTATCTCTGTGGGAGGAGCTTTAAAACATCAATAAAAATAGGCTCACCTTCATCACCTATCACCTTCTGTTCTTCTTACATTCAAAACACATTTGTACCCTGAACCTCACCCTTGATCAATAGGCACATTTTTTAGATACCATTGTCTTTTCTATTAGTGTCTGTGATCATATAAGAAGCAGAAGATGAAGATTTAAGAGATACTACACTTCCGTACAGTAAGTTTGACACCTTATATTTTTAAATGTTGATATGTATGTGCTAAAATAAATACCCAAACACTGCTGATAAAGCACAGAAGCATACATTGATTGTGTTTCATGTTAAATGATGAACAACTGAAGCTAGACTCAGGGCATTATTTGTTTGTTTTTTTCAACCCTCCTAACAATAGGATGAGAAATCTGGTTCAGGACCTTCAGTACCGATATGCAGCCGGATTTTCTGAAAGTGTGAGGGGTTTACAGATCCATCCTTAATCTTTCCAAACAGTTTTAAGCATGTTGGGATTTATAAATTAAGCTACATGGTGATTTTGAAATATATTAAAAACAGTATCAATCGCATCCTTAGTTTTTGCCTATGGAATGGAACATCCTGGCAAAGTTTACCAACCTGACCAATTTTTCATCCAGACGTCTCTTGTTTCTGTTTTTCATTGCAAAGCGTTAAGTTGGTCTTTGCACCCTGTCAGCTTCCTTTTTGGTTTTAACTGCTTCCCATGAGATCAAATGAGATCATACAAGATTATAGGAAGTGGTAGTGAGTTCCCAGTGGCAAACACAGTAATGTTGTGAATATCCTCTAGTTTTTGACTTGCCATTATTTTCAGATGTTGAAGTGTGTGCATGTTTGGGATTTGAGATGAAACATCTGCTAGACACTTTCAAAATGGGTTATGATATTAAAACTTCTAAATCCTTCCCCACTAAAGATTTTTTTGATTCTTAGAACTGAAACTTATTTTTCTAATTTTTAAAGGATTTCATAAACTAAAGAGCACACACTTCTGAAATGCAAGGATTTGTACGTCACACAACAGAAATAATGTTACAACATCACCTTTGGGTCTGAATAATAGTGACAGGCATATTGAGAAAACCAACAAACAACTGAAAATAAATAAAATCCATTTTCTTCAATTAGGAGAAAAGTATGCTGTTATGCATGGTTAGGGCTTAAACCATCTTAGTTTTCTCAACTCTCCCTCTTCTTTTTTTTACAAAATAAAAGGCTGAAAAAGAGCCATGATCTCTTCAGAGTGCCTATGGGAGTATCAAACACTATTAGTCACATGCTAAACATAAGGTGCATAGTTTGAAAGGAGACTCCCATATCCTGCAGCCTTACAAAAACACTGACGAGAAGGCACAGGCATGTTCAAAGTGATCTTTTTCTTTACACATCTGTATCTCTAGAATCTTTCTTTCATACTTTCAGCACTAATGTCTTTCAAATCTTAAAAAAAAAAAAAAAAAAAACATTTGTTAGTTAATTTATGAGCAGCCTGATTACAAAACAATGTTGTGGCATGACTTCAGTTTAGGAAAAGTGACCATGTTTTGAAACATTCAACACATTGTGATATTGACACACACAAAAAAAGCATCTTGAAAAGATTAAAAGTCATACCGGGTACAAAAGGTCATAAAGCTGAGATACTTTGACCTCTAAGAAACAGTGTGGCTTGACTTGTGTACACATTTTACATGTCAGTTGAGTTCAAGTTGTATTTCCACATCCGCTGGTTATTAAGATTGTCCATAGAAGCAAACTCAACATCTAGAAGCAGTGAAAGGTGTCCCTTCGACAATCTGGGACCAAGGTTAAGACCACTGGTGTTAATAGCCTCATTAAGAGGAATTCGCTGTTTTTGTTTGAGAGGCAAACGTTTTCCTTGGCTTACTGTGGAAATACAAGACACAGGCTGTGGAAATGTGAGTACAAAGCCAGTGTGTGCACCGACTTTTGTAACAAAATAATATGCACAAGACTGTTCAGCGTGGTGGCCGTCTGATTCAAATGTACAAAGTTATCAACTACCGTTACAATTGTTGGACCTCACAACGGGTGTAGTAAACGTTCAGTAGTTGTAAGTGCACTGTCACAGCAGCAAATCATCAGTGAGTTTAACTTTCCCTCAATTATTTTTAGTCCCTCTAAAAAATAATTGTCTTCTGTTTAACTTCCTGTGCGTCCATTTGATCACAGAACTCATCTCATCTTAGCAATCATCATACAAATTTGGGGAAATAACAAGCCTGGCAGTGTGGTGACCTTGTGCCACAGACTGAGCCCCAATGGACATTTTCCCTCATGGTCATCTCCATCAGACTGCAGCTATGTTGATGACCTACATCTTACAAACATCAGTGTCTGGCTTCTCCACCAGCTTCAGAGCCTCGTGCATGCCAGCCGCAGACAGTTTCCGATTGATGTTCCTGTAGCGGCACCGCAGGAGGTTGCTGTAGGTGGTCCTCAGATCCCGGTTGAAAAAAGCATAAATGAAGGGATTAATGAGGGAGTTGGCGTACCCCAGCCACAAGAGAGTTCTTTCAAGCCAGAGAGGAACACAGCTGCACTCAACGCCGCAGACAAACGGCCTGGCAGTGGACACCAGGAAGAACGGCAACCAGCAGAAGGTAAAAGCACCCACCACGATGCCCAAAGTGGCAGCCGCCTTCTGCTCCCGCTTGAAGATGGACTGGTTCTTCCTCTTCCGGCGTTGGTGGTGTTCGCCAGTCTTGAGGAGGCGTGAAACGCGGGTGCTGCATTCCTCCTCCACTTCACGCTGCAGCTTCAGTGCAGCTGCCACACAGTCCAGGCTCTCCTCTTCCTCAATCTCAGCCTCTGTCCCTTCAACACTTCCTGTTTCCTCCGACACTGTGGACTGGTGAACTTCATGCCCTCCTCTTCCCCCTCGGGGACCTGCCCCTGCACCCTGCTCCCCGACCCTTGGAAAACCGGTGATGTTGTGCTTAGCGGCACTGAGTTTGGCTGCCCGGAATATCCTATAGTACATGATCAACATCACAGACATGGGGATGTAGAAAGCTACAGCTGTGGAGTAGACAGTGTAGCCGAAGTCCTGGCTGATAAGGCAGACTCTGCCGTCATTGACGTTCTGCGCCCATCCGAACAGGGGAGGGAGGGTGATGGAGGCAGAGAGGAGCCACACTGACAGAATCATTTTGGCCATGCAGCAACCGTTTTGTCGGACAGGATATGTCAAGGGTTTAGTGATTCCCAGATACCTGCCGAGAAAAATATATTGAAGGATTTCCACAACAGGCAGACAAATTTCACCTGGCCTTTCACCTTGTTTAAAAAAATAAAAATAAAACACACAAAAATGTGCATTACCATGCCCCAAGTGAGTAATAATCTCTACACCCTCAACAAGGTGCCCTTGAGTAGGATGCTTTGAACAGCCTCCATGTGGGGAATTGTTTTTTTTTTTGGTTTTTTTTTTATGAATGAGAATCTCCAAGATTTTCAGAAAGAGTCTGTGATCAGTAAATCTTTATCTACAATGTTTTGCGAATATCCGAGACATTTTAGAGTCGTTTTTCTGTATTTTCTGTATCAAGGTGTTACGTTAGAAAGGAACCTGGTGTACAGCATGCATCTGACCTCCCTAAAAAAAAGTGTGATTTAAGAAGTGATTTAAGAAGGCGGAGGACGGAGCGACAAAATATCTCGTAAGATTGCATAATGTGATTTTTGTAAGAATGTGGTGTGAGATGCAAAGGGGTTTAAGACCTGAGGAACATAAAAAAAATGCCTTCTTAGACAAAAAGGTAGCTTATGCGGAGAGTCACTCCCAAAAATGATGATGCGTAAAAGTTGAATTAATCGGTAAAAAGGAAATATAGATCATGTTAAATATAGATTTAACTTACACTTGAGGCATTGTTTTTAAATCGCCCATGATTTTTTGGCTGTAGACTCGCATGGTTTGATTGTTTGATCATTGTTTTATTACATTTAAGAGGTTTTTTTTTCATGAATGAATTGACTTTGTTATAAAAAGTTGATCTCACCTGTCAATGCTTATAACGCACAAGCTCATAATGGACGCGGTGCAGCACATCACATCCATGGCGATAAAAACGTTACAAAAGAACTGTCCAAATATCCACTGACCCCCAATCAGGTCCGTGATGCTGACGAACGGCATCACGGCCAGCGCAACTGACAGGTCCGCCATGGCCAGAGAAACGATCAGATAGTTGGATGGCTGGCGGAGCTTCTTTACGAAACACACGGAGATGACCACCAATAAGTTTCCACAGATGGTGGACAGCGTGAGCATGGTAAGGACCCCGCCGATCAGGACTTTCTCCACCCGGCCATAGCTCAAAATTTGCTCGCCGCACCGGGTCCCGTTACTCTCCATGACCTCCGGCTGACTGGAGGTGGACGGAGAAGTCACTGCTGCCGCTGCTGCTGCAGCCTCTGCGGCGCCCTGTGCAATCATCAGCAGCCGGGGTGCAAGAGCCTCCGAGATCATCATGTTGGTGGAGCCCCCGGGAACTTCACCGCCGACCCTGTCCTCTATGAACGACGACCTCATGTTGCCACCGCCGAAGCTACCGTTACTCGCTCCCACAACAACCATTCTACTGCCTCCTGTTCCTTTTTATCCATGGACTTAGAAACCCGTCCGGTGGTGACATAGACGCGCACAGATGTGCCGGTGTTGGTGTGAGAAATGAGTAATTCCTACACACAGCCCCCCTCAGGGTTAACTACGCTAACATACTCTCCCTCCCTTCATAAAGCCTCGACGCCTTAATTCTTCTATTTAGAGGCATACTCGTCATTACGCACGTGGCGCGCCGCAGGCATGTTCCCAAAATACGTGACCTATAAAATACTATTTTATGTCCTGTTGTCTGCGACCACTCTGGCATTCTCTCCGCTTTTCAGCCAGATGTACAGACACAGAAACTTAAAAACCGCATTGTGCGCATCACAAAAGTTGACGCTTGACGTCGAAAGACATTTTGGATAGCCGGTAGACTGCCGAATTCCTGTTATCTAAACATGAAGACTCACACAGGAACAAAAACAACATTTTGATACATGTTTATTCTGCCGAAATTGTCTTGGTAAGGACAAGCCAATGTGTCAATGGAAGACCGTGCGTAATTGCGCAGAAGACTGAACTGTTCTGGCGATTTCAAATTGTGAAATCCCCCCCCCCCCCCCCCCCTACACACAAACGTGCCCACTCATACACACAGGAGAGGAGGGAGAGAAAGACAAAGGACTGATTGCCCAGAATGTGAATGAATAATACGTAATGATAAAATAGTGGGTTTTCGTCGGGCATTCAAGAAAATTGCCACTATTTATACAAATAATCCATCCAAGAAAAGCTCGGGAAGATTGGAACATTGTGTTACTTTTTGGATAATAGTAACATATTCTCAGCTTGGCTATATTTATGTTTTTTTTTCCATATTTAACTTTGAGCCTTCCGCTTATAAGCGAAAAAGAGACATGGGTGGTTAAGTGACTCCATTTCATGGAGACAGGTTTAATTTTAAAGATCGCTTGTACTTTATGTACCCAAGGTGAGAGAGCTGAAGTACTGATCTCTCCCAATACCCCTTCAATCATTTTGCTATTTAGCGTTCAAGCGGAGGCATTAAATCAGTGTTAGGACAAGAAGTGCAATCTGCCTTCATCTCACTTGTAAAACTTATTAGATTGATACTGCCAGAGGCAGGAGCAGGGACACAAACAGCTCCCGAAGCCTTTTCATCATTTTCTAATCTGAGCCAAATTATTGCGTGATAACCCCATACGTGGGAATGATACTAATGCAGAGGGTAGGCTTGAATAGTGGCGCACCCGAGTGGGCATAAGTGCAAACTGCAGGGTGTTTATGGTATTTTGTATAGTTCATTCGTGGTTGGAATTCCCTATTCGCCCAGCAGAAATCACATGTTTGTTTAATAATGAGGGATCTAAGGTCTAGTGTCTTTACACTTTTTATCTTGGACCATGAAGAGGTTATCCCATGCTCAACTGTGGTTCCAACGCAAACCATGTGATTCAAGTCCAGCTTGATTTCATCCACTAAACATCGTTTCTCAAAAAGGAACATAAAAAATAAAAGAATAGACTTTAACCTCGATATGTGGTTTACTCTTTTTTAAGCTTAATCAGTTCCAATGAAAGATAAAGTCTTTCTCTAATTGTTGAATGCAAAGAATAACGGACACAGAATTTCAAAAATCCAGCCAATATTAGGAAAAAAGTCAGAAGTCAGCTTAATGCACATTTTGTACAATTCTCATTCTTCTCCTGAGTTTGTGTGTGTTTGTGTGTGTGTCTTTTTGGACCCCTTAGATTTGCGTTGGCCTCCTTTGGCAAGTTTTATGTCCTTGACTAATATTACAGTATAATACAATAAAATGTTTTTATTAGGTGACATCATTGCTTTCATCCTATAAAGTACCATATAACCAGGCAAAATACACAAGAGAGCTGCAAAGAAAACAGACCTCTGCACAGTTAAGAGTCAATTGTTAAGCAGGTTAAACTGCTTGAATGGAGGTCTGCCTTCAAAGGTCTATTTAACCCATGGCAGCAGAGCAGAAATGCAATGTAAACCAAAAGAGGCTGTCGATTGACACCAGCTGCACTGCAGAGGTCGACTCTCTTGTAGCTCTATAGGAACAAAAACAAGCTTTTTTAAAAGGTTGTCAGAATGTTTTCGTCATGTACAAAATTCTTCATGCTTACAAATTTGCTGTCAAAGCATCAAAAGCTGTGCACTTCAGTGACATGACAGCAAACACATAGCAATACATGTCTAATACATTGAGCAACATGATGAATTGTTCTTTCATAACCAGGTCAACTAACCAAGGACTGAGGGGAAACTTTGGTCCCTGGAGTCTCTGCACTCCTGTTATGTGATCATTTTAAATGTTGTCAGCAACTTTAAAATAGGTTGCTATGTTAACAGAATTTGTTCTGCTTTGGAGGTTGATAAGAAAAAAAACCTGAATACCCTTTGTAGGCAATACTAACTCATATTATAACTACAAAATCCGAGAGTCCTTCAGCTGTGTAAAGAAAACATTTAACCTTGCACTTGCATTTGACCTTGCTCAGACCTTATGGACTAAATTGGAGCAAATCCCTGGAGGCCTTCCTAATAGACTTAGAGTCTTGTAGAGTAGCTTGTTTTATCGTAGTAAACAGTTTTTTCATTTCAAACCTTTATTTAAGCCTTGAAAATCATTGAGGTTTACCCCAAGATACAAATAGAAACAAAACAAAAAGGGCACAAATAAAACAACAAAGACAGATCAGGATGATTCTCAGTAAAAACAATCACACACAGTGGTAAAGTGGTTTGAGATCATTGTCTTAATTTGTCCAAGAGAAACAAAATGAGAGCGTGTTGTAAATTATTCCACATTTTCTGGGCAAAAAAGCTAAATGCACATTATTTTCCAAGTTCAGAGTAACCCTGAACCTGAACTTGAAACAACAGACAGTCAGTAGAGCGAGTGTGGTAGGGTCCGGTAGTCCAGTTCAACAGAGATGTTATATAAGATGGTGTACGTGCAAATAAGAGATTTATAGATGAAGACATACATGTGATTAGGGCAGCGGGGCGGTAGTAGATCAGTCTGTAGGGATTTGGAGGGTCGCCGGTTCAAGTCCCTGCACAGACCAAGTCGGAAATTGGTCTGGTAGCTGGAGAGGTGCCAGTCCACCTCCTGAGCACTGCCGGGGTGCCCTTGAGCAAGGTACCAAACCCCAAAACTGCTCTGGAGTGCTCGCTGTGGGCAGCTCCCTCACTCTGAGACCTCTCCATTAATGCATGTCCATAGGATCCTGTTTGTGCATGTGTGTGTATTTTCAGCCTATTATTATTATTATTATTATTATTATTATTATCATTATTATTATTATTATCACGTCTCTGTGCCAGATGTCTGAGATGACCAACCAACTTTGTTATTGAGAATTTAATGATGAGTGTTATAGGGGATGTTCAATTATTATTATTATTATTATACAGATTATATATCTAATTAATTATTTGCAATGATAAAATTATAAAGATGTATATTGCTGACCAGTCACTTTTCAGAATCAAATCTTGTTGGGTTTACAAAAAAAGTAGCAGATAAGTAGCAGCATGTCTCAAACACAGATCACCAAATATACAGTAGGACTCCATAAAAAAGGGAATCTTGATCCTTTTCGACCAGAAAGGGTCATTTGTTAACAGCTCACATTGTTTAAATTTTTTTTATAAATAAGTCAGTGGTTCTTTTTCCTTGGCACTCAAACATCTCTATCATATATGAACAGCATCGCTTCATTGCAAGTAAGGCTCTATTATTGTACTTCAGCAAAGCAAAAATCTAAGTTAATAACTTAAAGCTTGGTTCATCAAAACTTTGGAACAGCTGGAAAACATCTGGCTGAATTGTTTTCTTTTAATAATTAGTTTAATTCATAATTAAAAGTCACGGTTTGACAACTGTGTGATATGTAAAAAGCTGGCAGAGAAACCTCTGACTCCTTGTGTAGTTTTATACACCTGCAGGGAGTGTATAAAGTGACCGTTAAATACCCTTTTCATCTGTTACTCCTGCCTAAATGTTGTTATCTTACCTTCCCTTTGTAACTATTCCTTTATTTTCCAATTCTATAATCCTGATAGGAATAAAAGAGTGGAGCCAATGAATATATGAATACATGAATACAGATTAGTAATCACCTCCTGCCTGCTCAGCTACAAATTGTTTACCAAGTACATTATCATGTATTTATGAAGATCGTGCTTTTTCACCTTGATACCAGCTTTTTAATGACATTTGACTAAAAAAAAACTGTTGAGAAGATACTGGAAGCAGTAAGGAACTAAAAAAGCTGGGATAAAGTTATGACTTATTCAACAACTCTGCACATGCCTCATTAATGGCGCAGTACAGTAATTTCAGGTTTCTACTTGTTATTCTGATTGTAAAAAACAAAAATTGTGACTTGAATTACAACCCAAAAAAAAAGTATGCTGCAGGTGTGGTTTTAAGGATGAATAAACAGGTCATTATGTAGATCCGTTGTTTAGTGGTGTAAACATTCAGCTGAGCTACAGATGTCTGCAGATCAGGCCAGGATCTAGAACAAAATGACTTAGATTCTGAGATTGAAGGGGGTGCATCTACAGTGATCTACAACAGCAATGAAAAATAGTGCAGGTGTCCTGCATGTTGCCCCCGGTGAACAGACAGTTCATGTGGTACAAGTCATGACCATCAGAACATGGTGTATAGTAAACACAACGTGAGTCACTGTTGTTGTTTGAAAGCCTTGATTACTTATTGTAAAAAAAAAATTTTGGCGGCCATTTAATTGAGGTGCAGAAATGTGAAATGAGGGTCAAATGCAGGCTTTTGCACCCTCGTAGAACCGGGACTGCTGCAGATGACCGATGAATCCTAATGCATTAAAAGATCATGAGTCGACCTTTTCAATACTGCTAACATCTGGTCGGATGTTAAACTGATCTAACGCAGATTTAAAAACAAAATCAAATGACCAAATTACTTTGAGAATATGGCTTGGCGCACTAAAAGTTGTATTATAACATTTCTTCTGCTTCATACTTCGATATATATTTTGTTATCACGATTCAAGTTTTGGTCAAATAGACTTTAATAAACATGAACAGGCAAACACTCCCATGTAAATAAACGCTTCTATGATTATCAGAATGTAAAAAAAACCCTGTTGCAGCCACATTACAATTCTCTATACATCAACTGTATTACTTTATTACACTAAGATTATAAAACTATTTTGCCACATTTTTATTTTATTGCCCCTTCCTATGAACCTGGATGGATGATCAAATGTATCCAAAAAAAATGATCTATCAATTTATTTGGCCAAATTGTGCATTTATGAAATGTTATCATGCTCGCATAGAAGTTCCTGATTCTGTCACATGAATTTCTCTGGAAATTACAATTAACTAATAGTTCTTAAAGTGAATCACACTTTAACCATCTTTTTACAACAGAAATTAACATGTTTACAGCCTGGTTCAAAAAATGAAATTGGTCTGATTAGCTCACATGTCGATGCTGCATTGGGTGTGAATTTTTGATAACTCGTAAATTAAGGATAAGAGAAAACACATGTATTAATCCACAGAGCGGTGACCTGCACTGGTAGCACAAGGCGTTAGGCAAAGCTGCCTTCCTGTGCAGCCTGTTTAAGTTGGTTGTCACGATTGTTTGCCTAATTGAAATAGATGGTAACAGTGCTACTTCCAGCTTGTACTCACGTTGTGTTTGCCCGTTTTAATATGGCTTTTTTATCAGTCAGCATTTCCAACGTGGCTGACTGAAAGTAGACATTTGTACACAGTGTGTGCAAAACGTATGCCTGCTTTTTTTCTCTCCCTGTCGTTAGGTTCACTGAAATTTTAGGTTGATACAGCATTTTCAGCTTGGCGATTGCCTTTGATGGGACTCCAAAGTCCCCTGCAGAAACAGATAGGTGACGTCTCACAGGCTTCCTCCAATAATATTTACAATGATCTGGACGTATGGTCACACTATCTGAAGTACAATATCCAGATACAAGGATGGACAAAAATGTATATGTCTACTAGCTTTAGGTTAACAACTCAATTTCAATAGCCACATGTGAAAAAAAAAAAGTTGTTTTAACATTCATGTTACTCCAAAATGGACTAGAATGTACAGAATTCCAACCATGATGCAGGCCTACTGAAGTAGCAACAGACACCTACATTGTTGCACTTAAGTGAAAACTTTCATTTAAAGGATTTTTTACACATCACTTTCATTTCAGTATAAATCTTACATAACGACTAAAGTTTTATTTGAAATTCAACGACTTGTATGTATGTATTTTCACAATAATGGGTAAAATATGCTATTTTAAATCATTAAACCTTTTTATTTGGTTATGGAAGGCATCTCCCGACCCCCCTCTCAGTGTCTCATGTGCCCCCAGGGAGTCCCAATCCCCACTTTAGGAAAAGTATAGTCTGGAGAAGATTCAAACCTGGACCCTTGAGACATTTGACAATGTGCTGGAGTATTTTTTTTTTTTTAACTATTCAAGAGATTGAAATCAACATAATTTATAAAGCTACTTCTAAATGTGGGCGTGGCCGTTTTTCCACCAAGGATTGGATTTTTTGCAAAACAAATGTTTGTAATGGATTTAGATCATTTGCTACCTAAGGCAGAGGTTAACATTTGCAATTTTACACCAATAAGGTTCCAGGTACCCCAACCAACTTTGAGCAGCTCTCACACATTTTCCTTTTTTTTTTAGATATTTTTACATGTGTTTATAAGACACCTTTTATGAACACATTTGTGAAGAAATGTCTTGGTAAAGAAATGTATTCCCAGATTTTTGCTATATTCCCTTACTGCCCCTAGTTTCAGAATACTATATATTTTTTCCAAGCAGCTAAATCCACTTAACATAAAGTCTTTGTTTTGAAAATGTATTTTTGCTGTGAGTGTAAAACCGCCCGGGGGCAGCTTTCTCCACCTGTCGCGATGCTGAGACAGGAAATCCCATTCCAAAGATTCGTGCCACAGTTTGAAGCCTCCCCGCAGGGAAACGATGTAAATAATGTGTTGCCAGGTTGGAGAGATATCCACCTCTGAGCGGAAGGCTTTTGGAACGCGCTTTAGGTTTATTCCTGGCGTGTAAAGCAGCTTGAGTTGAGGGATAGAAGAACCCGGATCTGGATTCCGGGAGGAAGGAACACAAGTGCAGTCTTGGAAGGGATTTGAAAACACGGTAGCGTTTAGACTGACGAAAATTAGAGAAATGCGTTTCTCTGCAGAATGAATCCACCATTGGATGGGTGATAATTAACAACAATTGCTCGTCAAATGTCAGAGGATATTTGCTTGTTGACACTGGAAGACACAGCGGTGGATTCATGCTCAAAACACGGACGCTGCTTCCTCCTTCCTCCTCCACAGGATTGACGGCTGGCCTGACATCATTGGCTGCTCGTTGGGCATGAATCATCGCCTCCATCAGGGGGTGGGGAAGGGGTTCAGGGATGCTGTCACTGTCACTGCTCCCTTAATATACCACGCACAACCCCACACGTACACAAACCCACCCAGCCGGAGTGTCTTTTCTTTTTTTCTTTGACATCACCAAAACAAGCTAAATTCTCTGGGGCCAGCATGGAGGAAATCCTGCGAAAGCTGCAGAAAGACGCGTCCGGCCACAAGCACAAAGCTATCCGCGATGCCTGCGTCTACGCCCGCGGTGAGTGTTCAGCAGCCCCCCCACCCCACCCGGCTCTCCGGCTGCAGGAGGGGGGTAAATCTGCGACTGTGTTCACCTGCTAGCCTTTGAGGAACAGAGAGCGGCTTAAACCATTAGGCTATAGGCCTAAACAGTGATGTGGAGCATCTTATATAAACTAGGTAACACAGGAAACCTCGTAATCGTATTTGTTTCTGACAAGTAAGACTTAAATGTATGATTTTCATCCCAAAAAGAACTGACAGGGTGGAGGTAGTTTTTAATCTCAATGAGTAGGTGAGATGCTCCATCATCCAAACAGGAATACAAGCCGCACCTGTTGTGTTACAGGATCTAGCTCTTTGTGAGCAATGTGTACACAGCTGGAAATGAAACCCATTAGTTTCAGTTCTGTTCAGTTCTTTTAGAAAATGTAAAATAAGGATCCACCCGAGTAGGCCTACATATAGAATTTAACTTGCAGCAAGGCAGGTGGAATTTTCTGATTTCAAAACAGCACATGAATGCAGCAAAATTGTAATTATTATATTTCTTTTGTTGACTTGCAGTGTGTGTCTGACTGTGGGCAAACAGCCCCGATACAGCTCAAAAGAACAAACACACAAACAGAATCTTAATCTAATGTAATTCCAGGATGCTGGTCAGTTAGTATAGACTATTTCTTGGTATGTTTAAAGTTGTCAATACCTTTCAACCCAAAGGGCAGACTGACACACAAACAGGATATAGGATCAATGGGTCACATTGAGCTGTACATATATCTTTTGCAGTTGCTTCTAATGTACAGTTCATTAAAAGTAACATCCACAACCTGAATCTGTGTAGATCAGGCTGATGTGACATGAGTGAAGCAGACATGTCAATCACCGAGAACAAACACAATGAAGCACATTAGCAACAGGTATTTCAACACAATACTACATAATGCAAAATTCACTTTCAGAAAACTTCCCTTGATCGTATTTCTGTTGATTTGATATTATAGGATCGTGAGAGTCTGTTTGAAAAACCTGCTAATATCACTGAGTGGATTAAAAGAAAAGAATATGACAAATAAGAGCAGCATAAACATTAAATATTGAATTGTGCTGACTTACTACTCCTGGTACTCTACTGAAAGGGTTGGCAAATTAAAATGATTGACTGCACCGTGACTTATAGTCTATTGGAAACCACAAAGGAACCCTTTTAGGAAGGAGAAAGTCAAACATTTCTTAGAAACCCTTTGCTAGTCTCATTACTGTCTGTCTGCACAGTCCAGTGCTCTCCCCATCTCTGGATATTCGCTCCTCCTCCTCCTCCTCCTCCTCCTCCTCACGTAGCACTCGAAACTTGACACAAGACTGTTTTTGAATCACTGCGAAGAAAATGTATCTATATTACCATATTAATATATTATTTTTATAAATTTCCATTGACGTCGTTGGTACCATTATCAGTTTATGATTACATAATGGACCACCCTGACCTTTTTGGCAGGTGAAACTCAGCAAATAGAGAGTCGTGCTGATTATGCTGATGAAGGGAAAATTGTGTTACCCACACACACACACATATACACACTGAATTAATGCACACACACTAATAGGGCTGGAACAAAACGGACTGCAGACCTTGGAGATGTGTTCCTGCATGCACGGACACAAAGACAATGCAAGTTTGAATCAAGGTTTCTCTTAAAACACATCTCATAAAGACCATTTCCTATGCACTATACTCCATGAATATGTAGACGGTGAAGTTAAGTTCAGTGTGAGAATGTTTACTGAGAGTCAATGCACTTCATCAACCAATGAAAGGTCTCCTCCTGACTGCCTTTAAATGTTTGGAGACAGGCCAAGAACATCAGTCAGCATGCAGCACATATTTGTCTCCAAATGCAACAATGCCAAAAGTCCCCGTTGAATGCTGACAGTGCAGGTGCAAGGCTAGTTCACTAAACCTCAATGTGAGAAGATTCAAGCTGTGTTTTAAAAATGTCAGATGGTCTGATGTTACAAGATTTCAGCTGAAAAATGCAGCTGTGTGTCAGTTAGAAGTTGAAAGAATGAGGCCAATGTGACATCGGTCCACGTTTGAGATACATTAGCCTGAAGACAAGGTGTATTGTTATTCAGATCTTTGACATAAATGTTGAATAAGCATAAGGCTGGAAATGAAAATTTTCATTATTCCTTCACTCGCTTACTGAACCCATGCATCTTTAAAGATTGCTCAAATATCATTGGTTTTGTGTGTCACTAAAAAGTGTCAGTAATTTAAGAAGATGGCAGGCAGCTGTAATCTTTATCAAAACCTACAAAACCTAAGAGTTCTTCGGGTAATGTTTAAACCAGTGGATCAACCCGTATTTGGTGCTTCAGTTAGTATTTATTTGATGCCGGACTGTGTGTGAGTTATTTAGTCAGAATGAACTACAGGGTCCGGTCGACTCTTTGGATAAGATAGAGGTAACATATCAGGATATATCTATTCTTTCATACTATGTTATTTACCTAAGACTGCACATTATTAAAATCCTTATCCTTACTCTTATCCTGCGTATGAAAATTAATATTCTTATTTGGTCTTTCTGAGCTCAACAAACTGAACGCTTTTCTTTTTGGTGAAGTTCTGTTTTCTTTTGGTTTAGCTAAATGTACCGCATGATATCTCTCAAGATTGATGAATAACAGTTTGTCCTTTCCTTTGTCCCCCTTAAATCACAGAAACCCTCGAGTCTCAGAATGGGTCAGCAAAGATTTCCCCTTCACAGCTTCGGTAAGTCAAAGATCTGCACACTGTTCAGCTCTCTCATGTAAACTCAAAGCTTCAAAGGCATGACATCAGACCTTGTTACAGTCTCTCTTGCAGAAACTCTTTAATGACTAACCAATGATGGCGTTCAGTATGACTCCATATGACGCAGCAAAATGTTTGTTGGACCACCACAAACTGTACAGACTGTTCATTTACAGCAGAGAATATAAAATGTGCACACCACGATTCTACCCAGTGTATGATTTGAATTCATTGGAGTGTTGATATGATCTCTGTAGTGATAATGCAAATACTGAACTTTAGCACTCAACTCACACAAGGCAGTGTGTCTATAGCAATTCTAGACATCACTTGGGTTAAACTGTTTAAATATCACAGTTACGCCGCTCCACAAACCCACAGCTAAAAGCTATCCTTGAGCCTGACTCTAAGGCCAGTGAGCCTGTAACTAGTGCCTCTCCTTATGTGTTACGTAAACGTGAAAGTGTATCCTGCCTTACCTGAATGTGTGTGCAACTGTCCTGTCTGTTTGAGTGCCGCGACCAGCACACTCGGACAGCCCGATCAACGGAGTCACTTGGGTGCGATCTCCTCCGCCAGCCCGCTCTTTCATATCAGCTTCGATTTATGTGCAAAAGAACCCGTGAAGTGTTCACACAAAACAAACGTTACTTCAGATTTCAGCCTCTCAGTTGTCTTGCGTCCTGGCGTCTCCATCGTGGCGGCTCTTCCACTCAAAACAAAATCCCGCCGGCTCCTCCGCAGGTGCTGCTAATGAAGGTTACAGAGACAGAGCCACCACACCCCCCCCCCCTCAGGTGTGTCATCAGTACTGACCCTGCTTCTCCTCCTACCAACCACACCTACCGCTAAAGACACTGAAGTGAATCCTCCTAAAGCATCATCGTAACAATCATAATTACAGTATTCAGTAGCCACCTAAATAATGTCAACTTTGTCAGACAAAAGAAATGTGCAGCTGTCAAACAAGTGGTCATTCAGAAGCATCAGATGTTAAAGCCCAACTATTGCAGTCACCGTGTTGGGAATGCTTTCTCCACTTTACTTTCCATCAATCTGGAAACAGTCAAAGAGCTGGAAATTGGGCGGGCTTTAACAGTTTCTGGGCAACCTCCTGTCACCTCAACCAAGCCCATATTTATGCAAATTCAAAACATGTTTATTTCTTCTGTAGAAATCGACATTTGAATGGGCTGCAACGTGGATTCCTTGGGTTTTGCACCAAGGAGTCAGCTCTTCTTGTCCCATGTGAAACAAATGGTCCATGTTGACTTAATAATTTAACACCAACAATGATCATCTCCGTAACCTCAATAAGAAGTTAAGATTATGAAACCTAACCATGTATGTTCTAACGGTTGTACATTTGTCACAGTTTGGTTAGGTTTAGTTTGGCTTTAAAAAAACGTATCACACACTTCTGAGGTAAATGAAAATGGTTCCTTGTACCCCTGACTGAAAACAATGAAAGCAAACTGTGAGGCAACAAGTACCAGCCAATCAGAGCATAGAAGGGTGGGATAAGATGTACTCTATTGGGGGAAATGAGTTGCAGTTCACATCAAATTAGCTCCCACGTTTTGAATTTAACACAGTGGAAATACTGAGTTTAATAATGTCGCTGACAAAGGGAAACTGTTGCTTGGTTACATGCCTGATCTGCTTAACGAGGTCTGAATCTAATAGGAATGGTCTCTTCCTGCAGTGTATTGTCTCAAGGTGACCAAAGACCTGAATGTAAAACTCTTGGTGCTATACAGAAAAACAACATAACCCCTAACAGGGTTTCATTTTGATCACATCATGAAATTAGTTTGGAGGTGTTGTTAAATTCAGCCCTGTGTATGCCAGTCATGTCTATCGAATTATAACGACAAAATCAAACAGAACATTTACAAAATATTCAGAGCTGTTCACAGTGACTGCAGCTTAAAAAATGTAGGTTTGGCTGTGTGTCCAAACTTTATTATCCAGTATATTTCATACTAAAACACCTGTCTGATTGTTTTTTTTAAGCAGAAACACAGAATGTAATATCATTCTCATGTGAGCGTTAATGCTATCTCTGATTCCTGAGTTGAATGGAGAGCTGCTGCTGCTGGCTGTTGAATGGTAGAAGTTCTGGATGCTGTTCCAGCTAATCTAGCCATGAATTATTCACTCAATAACCTCCATTGTTTTGTTAGAGATTGTTGGATTAATTATTGATGATAATGTCCTTGTAATGTAGTGCCACGGTTCTCAGTCAGTGAGCCAAGGGTTTTAGGACATTTCAGTGGGTTTGCTTTGCAGTTCACTTTAAGATTCTTATCCTGATAGTCTACTTGAATGGTGGTATTTGTGTGACCTTTCATTCCTTGCACTGTACTTGCTCATGAATAGTGTCCCAACTGTAGGGAAATGCTTGGTTTGGAGCCGTGCTGTGGGCCCCACTCAACCAGTGGATTTCTGACAGCTCAGAGATGAAGCCCAGTAGCCTGCTCTCAGCAGCAGAGCTCGCTCAGTGAAGACGAAGTGGAAAGAAAGAAAATTGCTCTGTGATTCAAACACAGTTGCTGGGTTATGTAACTGCTTCTGTAGTGTTTGGGAAAAAAAAGGGAAGTAGATTCTGAAACTTCTATTTTTAACTGAGAGGTGTTATTTTTATTGTTATGAATCCATTTATAGATGGTTCTTAGCTGACTGGAATGTTAGTGTTGTACAGTATCTCAAGGATACTGCAAGAAATCAACGATGACTGTGTAGAATAAAAAGCAGATTATAGAGAATTAAAGACAACAGGCCATATAGGACAAAAAGGACACCTTTATGCTTTTTATTGCATCTTTTTTTTTTATGGCAATGGGTGAATGTTGTGCACACATTACTTTTTGTTCTTGTGGAATTGAATGTCTAAAAGTCCGACATGGCGTGAGCTTGTTATCGCTGGTTCCTGGCCCCTGCTTGGCACTTGCCTCCTGAAGACATGGACTGCATGACTGCATCTCCAGTCTCATTGGGGTCAGCAAAGACATTTCTCTGCATCTGTGTCGGTCAAGGCAGACTCAGCCGCATACAGTCCGTCTAGCTGCTTTTTTAGATTGATCAAACAAACACTCACATCGCTGCTTTAACTTTTTTCAATATTAGTGATAATAGTCTGAAGTGTGCCGTACTGACAAAAATGAGCAGTTTCTCACTGATTTATATCAGACTTGAAGCCGATTTAAAGATACAATTTGTAGATTCCACCACAAGGGGGGGCTCTCAATCAACTACAATAACGAAAGATGACGTAAAGGCTAGTGGAGAATCATTAGAGGCATTATTAAAGACAGAAATTGGCCCTGGAGTGTCTCCCTGAGAATCACCCATAAGAAGTTACCTCACCCATTATGGCCCCCACCATCTTGTTTTATTTGGAGCCATAAATGGCCTAAATGAATAAGTCTGATGTCTCGAGGTGCATCTCATGCCTCTTAAATCATGTTTCATCGATCCTCTGCCGAACCCGAATGTAGTTCTGGACCCCCCCCCCCCATCTTAATGATCGTTCCAAAGCCCTTGATGATGCTCAGAGGAGAGAGGAACGGGAAGCGAGGAAATACGAGAGCAGACTTCACAGAGGGCTTTTTTCACGCAGACACGCCCCCTTTTTGGATGACTCATTGATTGGATGCTGCAGCAGATCGCTCCGAAGTGAAACGTATCAAAATCAATAGAGTTTAATAAAAAACAGAGACTGTATTCAGTTTATTTTATAAGAATTATTACAGTTCCACTTCCCTTTAGTGCTGACACAAACATTTGTTAAAGCCGACTGAAGTCACAGATGTTGCTACCCGTGAAGTTATTTCCTTGTCCCCTCTCTCTCTTTCACTTCATCTTCTGCTGCATCTGCAGGTGGGAGGCACTATGACACCAGTGAAGTACACAAGTGTGGGATGCATTGAGGCATGAAATGTACCCTCGGTCTTTTTGGCCTTCTCTATGGGGAACAACCAAAACAATCCTGACCTCCATGCACTTGGTACCAAATCTAAGTGAATGTTTAACACTCAACAAGCACCACCAACTCTCTGAGTTAGCACCTAACAGACAGCTAGCAGAATTTGTCCTTCCACTAAATTATGCATAACTTTCAGCATTAATATTGTTGGGATAGATGATCTGTATATTTACCCATCATACAGTCATGGACAGCAAAATGAGCAATAAAGACTGCATCTGTTTTACCTACCGGACTGTAATAATGTCAACATTATCTGCGATGTTGGGCATTTTAACATCTGGGGATGACTCTCTTTTAGGGGCCTGCCTCAAGAGGCCAACAGAGGTGTTTTTTTTTTGTGTGGTTTTTTTGTTGTGGTTTTTTGTCAATAAAACATGTTGGCTTTATTTTTCTTACCCACATGTTCCTGCTTCTATAAACACTATTGAATTAAGCTTCCCTCATTGTAAACATCAATGGTAACATAGTTATTTTAATAATAATAACGATAATACTTTACACTTATTTAGAGTTTTTTCTGAAAGAAGCTTAATAAAGAACAACAATAAAACAATGAAAACAATACAAAGAAGAAAGAGTCTCAGAGAAGGAGGACGAGAACAGAGGCAGTGTTTGTGATTGGTTGTAAATAACATGTTTGTGTCTCTTTTTCCAGAGAGCGCTGTCTGCTGCCTCTACAGATGGCTCTGGAGTCTAAAAACACCAAACTGGGACAGGCAGCTCTTACTGGCATGCAGGTATGCATTTCAGTAGAGATGACTTCTCTATCCCAACAAGCCAATTCAATCCTTTTCATGTTGTTCTTCTTTCTTAAAAATGTATTTTACACAAAGTCAGTTAAAAGAAAACAAAAAAAAACAACCCACATTTTTGTCAACATTTTAAAAAGTGGAATTCTGCCTTTTTCAACTGAATATATCTATAACCTTACTTCTAGTGGCTTGATGGGGCTTATTCAGGTAAATAAGGTGTTGTTAGTGAAAGTAATGAGTCAGTTTGCATGCTTTACTGTCAAGTGTCATACAGCCAGGCTTGTTTTAAACACTGACGATAGTTAAATAAAATATAAAAAATGTTAGGACTAGCATCAAGTTACAATATTCTGCAACATGGTAACTTTTTTGTAACTTTTGGTTCATTTGATTTGGTTAATTTTTTTTTTACCCATATTACATTTAGCGTTTCGCTGTTGTGCAAACCCCCTTTCCTCCAATAGCGTTGCATATTCCTCCGTAAGGGTTTTATCTGTTGTCTCATGTTATTTGAAGAAATTATATATCCAGTGAGGGTGTTATTTAAATACATGATGTTTTAAAACCGTTGGTCTGCTAGTTGAAGCTCTTTTCCCTTTGCTCCTGTCTCCAATCAGAAGCTCCTGTGTGAGGACAGATTTGTGGGTGGAGTCAGCATGGAGGTGGAGGTCCTGGAGAAGCAGCTGCTCAGTCAGATGTTGGAAGCCATTAGAATAACCCCATCCCTCCATGAAGACCTGCAGGTGGAGGTCATGAAGGTAATACCTGGGAATATACGAGCTGTTTTTGCCCTCAAAAATTGATTCATATTCCTTAATATCTGGACAGTGATTTTCTTTGAGTCAAGCACTGTGTTTGTTTCTCCTGTGTGCAGGTCCTGCTGTGTATCACATATTCACCAAACTTTGACATTAATGGAGACTCCATTCTGAGGATTGCTGAGGTAGGATGGCCTGAGTCTGTTTGATACGAATGTGCTTCATCATCATTTATTCTAGATTTTACATGCAGCATCAAACAGGGACAGGAAGGTTTTGGTCAGCAAGTTGCATAAATGAATATTTTCAATCCCTGCTCATTTGCTCCTGGGAACGGTACTGACAGCTGCAGTTTGAAAATGAATCTAAGATGTGGCTCAGGGTTGTGCCAAATTTGCTCTCCCATTGTTTCATGATAAATGTGACAGTTTTTTTTTTTTGGCAAAATAACCAACTTCCTGATTACAATGCGAATGAGGGGATGTCTTTACTTACTACTAACTGAGAACTCTGGAAGAATTTCACTGATAATGTAAGTCAACGTTTAACTCTCATGTTTGTGTTTTAACTCCACCTTTTGTTGTTTCTTCTTTGTGTTGTTTTATCTCATGATAAAGCAAAGTCAAAGCTGTTGTCATGGTGACAGGATTGATTTGACTATTGAAGACCATGCTAATAACAAATAGGCTATGGTCCTTGTCGCAGCGGCCATGCGTTCAAATCCAATCAGGGCCCTTTGCTGCAGGTCATCCTCTACTTTGTCTTCCCAGCATTTCCTGTCTCTGTTCAGCTGCTCTATCCAATAAAGGCAAAAAAGGACCAAGAATATAAGTCCAACAGGGTGCACAGCCCCCCATGGATTACTGCACATCACATTCTTTCTTTGCACAGTAACTTTATACAAGCAACCAACATAAATGTTCTGTGAAAGGACAATATTTGTTTCAGTCACCTTTTCAGTCAAATACCAGTTTAAATTGTAAAGCCAGATAATCTGCAGGTGATATTCCTCCGTTGTGTTGAGGTGCTGTCTGGATTTTAGAGGACTTCTTGAGGCTCTGCACCGCCTTAAAGCAATACCCCAGACTTTAATGGGTATGTCCTCCTTCTAAGTTTGATACTGGTGACAAAAAGTCTGTTTTTATTTTGACCAGAGAAGGAAGGCGGTTTTAAGGCACCCCCACATGGCCATTGTGGACGCCTCTAGGTTTAGCAGGCAAATGGTAAAAGCAACAGGTGTTTCAGCGATGGAATCGGGCAAGAGAAATGGTTCAGATATAACTGATTCTACCCAAACTAAAAGCACTGGCATTTTGCTAATAAGCTCCACGACCAGAAACGTGTTAGAACTAGTATAAATATTGGAGATGCTTTTGAAAAATGGAGAGAGGTTAGAGCGCAGAATGTTTTCAAGACCGATGCAAAGCTGGCTAAACACTGAAGCTTCAGTGTCCGTGTCATTAGGGAGAAGATGGAGACAGCTCTCTCCAATATTTAAAATTCGCACTGCAGTACCCATTTTAAACGCTAGGTGTCAGAGTTACATATTTCTCCTTTAAATCACCAAGCTGACCCTGAGTCATTGAAACCGATTTGATTATTATCTGTAGAGACTTGAAATCAATCCTGCAGCACAATGTTCTCCATCACTAATTTATTTCTTCAGTACATATATACATATATATTATATATATTATGTGCCATTCCAGCTACTCTTTGTGCAAAAAAGACCCTATTATCACTGTTAAGAAACATGTATTTATCTCTTTGCCTCTTATACATAAACAACGGAGTAAGTTAAGTAAAAGCAATTGAGTTAACATGAGAAACACAAGAAAGAGAGACTGGAGCACATTGGAATTCAACTGACTACAGCCTCCTTTGGACTTGCCACAGCCCCTATGTGGGATGAGTTAGGTTATCCGATTCACCCTCTCAGGGAGCACCAACCCTTGTGTCTCCAAACGCAAAGTCATTTTGCAGGGTTCTGTTTGGGTGCGAGTGTTTCTCAATGAACTAGATTCCCTCAGCATCAGCATCAGCAGCTCCTGCACCCAGGTGATGTCTGACGTCCATTAACAGCTCATAAAAACCTGGTCAACATGTTGTGTTAATGGCCTCTGTGCTGCCAGGGCCGGCCATCTGGTGTGCATGTGGGTGGTGTTTGTGTCGGGTCATAACTCAGGGTGGCTTGAGAGGCTGTCAACAACACTCCATTAAGTGTAACATCCCATACAGTGAGGCCCAGTTCGGCTTCTTAATGCAGGGTTTGGCAGCACTGACGGGGGATTGTTCAGTTTCATCCACAGGGAACAGGAAGATTTATATTTCATCTCTATAACACCATCGTGAAGTGATTTGAACCCTGTGAGATATTTACTGTCGCCTGAGACTGAGTCAGGAGCGTTGTCTCTAAGCCTTAAGCATAATAAACTGATCTCAATACTTCTGTTAGATCCAATGTGAAATGGTTCCAAATGGAGAGAGTGTCTGGTAGCAGCACTGCTGGTCGTCTGCTAATTGCAGGTTTGGTCATTCGTGGCTCATGTCCAAATGTGCTTGGAAAAGATAGTGAACCCTAAATCGCTCCCAAAGGCTGTCACATTGTAGTGTTTGAGAATAACGTAAGATCTCGATGTGCAGGTTGGCAAAATAATTACTGAACCTTTTCATATTAACATGTGAGCGTCTTGACTGTGATTAGGTAAACCTAAATGCAAACCTATATGTGACATTGTTGCCACCTTTAGGCAAAGGAAGTAACAGCAGGCTCTTATTGTATTTGTGCCCAGGGACTACGTGGAAATCGAATTAATTGTTTGGCAGCGAGACACCAGGAATAAGAACTTTATAAACGAACTAGACTATCTGTCCCTTTTCAGTCAGAATATATTTGCTCACTTCCTCTGCAACTTCACTCAAGTGAACCTTTACACAATGTTATATTTCTTAGCTTTAAAAATGTCCAGTATTATTTCTCATCATAAGCAAACTTCCACTAAAATGCAGCAATAAAATGCATACAAATAATCTGATATGGATTGAATGCACGTTGGGCCACTCTAAATTTAGCTGAGGCTTGATGAAGCCTCTTGCAGTGTTGCCATCTAGTACACAGACTTGATTTCAGCTGGATGGCATAATGAGGCAGGATGTATTGATCTTTTATTGATTCATCACAGGTGGTGGAAACCATCCCTGAGGCTGCTGAGACTTTAACTCTGGATATAATTAACAGAGATGGTCTTTGTTAGAAGATGTATACGTAGGTCTCTTACCTCTCAGCCTCTTACCTCTTTTCTCTGTGAACCAATCATTAGAGCTGTGATGTCTTGTTTTTTATTTTTCTGAAATTAAGAAAATTTTACATATTTATTGTTGATTGTTTTGATCATTTAGCTTTAATAATAACAGTAGTGTGTGTGTGTGTGTGTGTGTGTGTGTGTGTGTGTGTGTCTGTGTGTTTTAATATAAACCACCCTACCCCCTTTCTGTCCTTTGGTCACCGTAAACATTGGTTACCGGGGGAACTTGTGACGTCATGGAAACCTCCAATAAGTCTCTCTGACAGTTTGGTGTGTGTGTGTGTGTGTTGTGTGTGTGTGTGTGTGTGTGTGTGTGTGTGTGTGTGTGTGTGTGTGTGTGTGTGTGTGTGTGTGTGTGTGTGTGTGTGATGCTGCGGATAGTGCGTCATGGGTTGTCTGTTTTTAGTGACTCAGACACAAGGAGAGATAGCGGACTGACAGATGTTTGTGTGTTTGTGTGTTCATGTAGGTGTGCATCGAGACCTATGTGTCCAGCTGTCACCAGCGCAGCATCAACACGGCAGTCAGAGCCACGTTGAGCCAAATACTGGGAGACCTGACACTACAGCTGCGACACAGACAAGAGGTTATCTTTCTATTTACCTCTAGTATGCACTAACACACACACACACACACACACACACACACACACTCAGAATGTCTAGTTGACACAGTTAACATTCCTCTTGCTGTGTTCTCCTCCACAGGGTGCTGATGGAGACGAGGTGATTGCACCACCCCTGCACAGAAGAGGTAAATCAATACGAGTGCTATCATTCACCTCCGATGCTTTCCTCAATCTGCTTCAGGGCTTTAATTACCTCTATTACATGAGCCTTTTTTACATCACGATTCCACTACAGCACAGTAGTGAAGCTGTGCCGTCATACCACCC